CTTCGCAAGGCAGACTGCGAGTGCTCGAGCGATCTACAGTGAGGAGCAATACTTACGCAACAGATACATCGGGCGACAAGGTGGCAACTATACGCGAGTAGTCAAAAAGAGAAGGATTTGACCAAAGTAGCGCTTGGCATATCCCTAGATTTCAATAACATCTTTTTGATAAGAATCAAAGTTAAAACCTTCTCTACATTAACTCTCTCTAGAGGCTCTAGCACTCGGAACTAGCTTAAGTGGTAGCATGTGCCTACACCAGTCACTCGATAGCAAGGCTGCCGATAGGAAGGACCGCTTAAAAACAAGACTCAGGTAGCAACGCAGTAGCCTTGCCGGTGCGATTATGCATTTCTGTGTTAAATTTGAAACAGTCAGATCGTTAACGGCATGAATGATCGCAGCTTTACAGTTTTACGTGTGTACTCATGTTGACTGCGCGTCGGCTGGAACGGTAGTGCTGCATGTATGATTACCGAAAATTCTGCATCGAGGGAAAAATTTAACTGCTCTTACCATTTCCAACCACACTGACGTCTTCCGTGATACCAGGATAAGAAAAAGTGTACGCAGTTTAGTAAAGTGATACCTGTGTCTGCTTGGCGGTAGCTGTGTCTGCATCTGACGGTGGTGGTGAAGGACTGCCCGAATAGTGCCTTTCCTCTGCAGCTTGTTGCCTGAAATTGCATTGGCAGACCATACTGACTGCTCATATAAAAAGATTAGAAGCAGTAATTAGAAGCCACTGCTGCAGCGGTGTGACGGATGTGATAGCCTAAGAGAGGAAAGGTGGTAGGGCCGTGATTGAAATCGCTGTTTTATATCATATTTTCAACAGATACACAGGCGATCGCCGTCTTCCCTTGAGCAAACAAAATCCTTGAAAATGGCAGCTAAATTATGAAACTTCCGTGTTTAACACTTTTGGTAAGTCAAATTTACAAGGGATGTTGAGTTGCAGTTTCGAGAGCCAAAAACAGGAAATATTTTAGATGCGTGATCGGCGTAATGTGAGTGCTTCACATTTCCAGCGCGATCCCGAATTTAGAGAAATATTAAAGCAGTGAAACACCAAACCTAGTAGAAAGCGTACCGGCTGCCGGTACGAGGATGCGTTTTTTGCACAGTTTCCCTCGCAGGTTTTTTTCGCCGGTGGGACGTTCTTCCTGGCGGATGCTTCTAGCTAAAAGAATTGGGACTGGCCACTACAACTGTTAGAAATC